GGGGAGCAGGGGAGATCGAGGCGAGAGGGCGACGCTGGCCTGTGCCACCACCGGGGGGGTCTGGACCTTGGTGAGAGGCTGGGATGAAATCAAGGGAATGGTGGTGGGGGGGTGATGATAGAGAGAGGAGGGGGCTGGGCTGTGGGGGGATGACAGGGAGAGGGCCTGGTGCAGGCTGGGGATGCGGGAAAGGGGAGAGGGGACACTGGGAAGCTATTTGATCTCCTGGGGCCATTAATTTGCAGTCTCCTGGCCCCTGGGTCAGTTTCCCAGCTCACTCATCCCTGGAGTCACGATGGGCCCCCAGGTCACCTGGTGGTCAGGGCGGGGTGGTCCCAGGGAGCTGGGTGGGGAGAGGGGAGGAAGGGCCTCTTGGTGGGCAGCTGCACAGCCACTGGGCCTTTTCTGCCTCAGTTCCCTGGAGAGAGGAAGGCAATTTGCAGAAGCGGCTGGAGGTAGATTGTTCTTACTAAAATTAGCTTCTGAGGAGGCTGGGCGTCCTGACCTGGCTAGGGTGACAGGGGGTGCTCCCTGTCCCTCTGGGGGGCCGATGCTGGGGCAGAGGGGCAGGGACAGGTCCATTTCTGTGGTGCTGGCCCTGGCAGCACAGCCCCACCCCCACCCCCACCAGCGCTCCCATTCCACCTCCAGGGTGAACTTGCCGGAGGGCAGCCTCCCCTGCTTGCCCACCGCCCACCCCCCATTCCAGCAGCACCCTTTCTTGGGCCGCCTGTTTATCCTGGCCAAGTGCCTACCCAGCTACCCAGAGGAGACAGGGTTACTGCCTTCAAATACCTGAAGGTCTGTCATGGGGAAACAGGTCGGCTTCGGTGGCCCAGGAGGGTGACCCAGAACAGGGGAGCAGGGTGGAGAGTGGTAGGAGGCCCAGTAGGGGGTGATCCTGGCTGTCCTAGAAGGAACTTTTCAACAGCCGGGGCTGTGTCTGAAGACCACTAGCAGCCTGATGTGGCCAGGCGGACGCTGGGCTCCAGGCGCCCCAGTGCCCACATGCCGCGGGCAGCAGTGAGCCTGAGCTGGTGGGGGCCAGGGAGGCATAAGCACCTGCCTGCGTCCTTCTCTATGTGGCTGATTGAAGCCCCCCAGGAAGACCTGCTGACTGAGAACAGGCCTGCCCCCACATTGCCCTTTGGGAAGGGTGCCCTCTTGGCACCAAGCCTCTAGGGAAGGAGGGCTTCTAGCCCCCAGTCTGGACAACCCAATGCCCCCGTGTGCTCCAGCCTTCCCACCAGCCAGGCCAGCCACCCATCAGAAGCCCGGGAGCTTGTGGGCATCCCGACCCTCCTTTGGTTGCCCTCGGTGGCCAGCCCCTCTCCCCTCTTGGGCTCCAGATGGCTTAGGGCTGTCTGGGGGTGGCTGGTGGCAACCAGGGGGTGGGCCAGGAAAGCAGAGAGAGGCTACCCTGACACCTTTCCAGCCCAACAGGTTCCTGTGTAATCCAGGATTACCCTCGGGCGGTGGGGCGGCAAAGAGGGGCTGAACACCAAGCCAAGGCCCCAGGGGGAGATGATGCTGGCCAGAGGGGTTTCACTTGCCCTCCCCTCTCCTGGGACCCAGGTGTCCACATGCACAGGCACAGGCCCCAATGCCCCCAGGCTCCTACCCACTTTGGGTAGGAGGGTGCTCAAGGGCAAGGAGTGCCATCCTATGACAATGGGCATAGACATCGTCACCGAAACAGACTTTCCACAGAAGCCCCCAAGGCCTCTATCTGTGCATGCAGGTGAGGGGCTGGAGGCCAGACGCTTCTCCCACCTTCACCTCATCCACGATGGGGCCTGCCTTCCCTGGGAGCTGCACAGCCCGGCCTGGGGATATGCTGGAGCCACACCGCTCCTCTAAACCCTCCCAGTGCCTTGGCCAGGCACCTCAGTCAAGAGCCAGCAATGGGGTGACCTGGGTGTCAGGTGTCTGAGGACAGACTCCAGATAGGGCTCCAGGATGTCACGCTTCTCCCCCTCCCCCCAGCGGCCCTCAGAGCAGGAGTCTAGCTAGGACTCAG